CGTTGGTGGGGGTGCTGTTAGAGACCGGGCACGCGGAATTATATTTTTTTTTCCTGCGCGTGGATCCTTCACTCCGTTTGATCGCCTGAAATCAGACCACTGCTTGTGTTTTCATCGGGACAGCATAACCGATCCATGAAATCACACACTCGTTCGAATAATATACTCCTTGTATTATCGACCAAATTATCGATCTAAATGCCGTCTTCCTCTCGTTTGCTGGATTTTATGACTTTATAAGATTCTACCTATTTGGGATGCCGCACTTAATGACTGAAAGGCGTCTATAGTATTCGACTAATGGAACGAATGGCGCTGTCTGCTTCCGTGATATGGACACTGGTGTTGCTCTCCCACGGTAAGAACATAGTTCAATCACAGTAACGTGACGATAGGTCCAGGGCCATGGCCAGCTTGCACCTATTTTATTCTTCCTTGTTGCTATTTTCTGAATTATACGATTCAAACACATAATTTACAAACAATGATGAATGATGAATCACTGTCAAGAAAAAAAAATGATATTAAAAAATAATGAAAAGTGTTATCCCTCCTTGCTGTACAATTTGAAGAAAAAGAACACTTCATTATTGAAAACAATCTGCTTGTTTAGTAGTAGTATATGAAATTAGATGCTGCTGTGTCTGTATCTATCTATCTGTCCCACACTTAACCTAACAGCGTGGCAGGTGTGTACTCAGTGAATATGATGACCTAATAGAGACTGATAACCCAATATGCGAAGTAGGGGTGATGTGATCAATGAATTGGCAAAATGTTGACACAGTCGCACTCGGCGAAATTCGAGAGTAGGTAAATTAGATAACGCAGTGCTTTTTCATCTGAAAAGCATTCGTCACCGTGACGAAGTAGAACTTTAGCGATCGTTTTAAAATCTGTTCTAGTTGTTTGCTTAACGTTAATACTAGAGTGCCTAACAGACACTGCGTATTCAATTAGCGGTCTAATGTAACCAACATAGATAGTGACCACGTCAGCGGGATTACTAGTATATGGACTAAGTGGTCATAACATATGCGGACGGTCCGTTGACTTTTGCAACGATGTAAATTTGATTAATTTGTAAAGCAAAAGACATCGACTACATTGATTTATTTGAATTTACATTTATCGTCCATTTGAGATTTGAACAGTTACCCGCCTGCAGTAAAATACAAAGATTCAACGCTTTCGTCATAATCCTATGATCGCGAGTAAATCCATATTCAGCTTACCCAAATCTGGATACGTGGTAGGATCACATTATTAATCTCCCTATAATGTCGTAGGTCCTAGTAGAACGCTGTCGGAATAGTTGCTTTAAAGACTGACGCAATACCATCACACGAAGTAACCATATAGTTTATTTAAAATTTTAGCTTACTTGTTTGATACTGCAAATTAGATTATGATTTACTGTAAAACATGTCTTTTTCGCGAATTTAGCGAAAGAACTTTATTATCAATTCAAAATGGCCGCCAAACAAAGAAATCAGCAATGACAAGAGAGATTCGCTAAATTAACATTTCGCTATTACGTCATTTTACCACAATTCGCTAAAATCGCATGCCGCTTTTTCAACATGTTTTACAGTACCGGTATAGTATGGTAAACTGAAAATATTGTTTTTCAGCACACAGTCCAACATTATTTGTTTACTTTACAAATTAGTCAGCGCACATACTGAAAATCTGCTAATATCGTCAACATGATATTATAGTTTTTAGTTTATGGTAAAACAATGATCCAACATACAGTATCAAACAGCAATAAATGTAAGTGACATGTCCAATATTACTTGAAATGAACAGTGACATCGTCGCGTTGATTGGTCAGAACCCGCGGGCTGCGCCTTGGTAAATGATGCCATTCTTCGGTGGTTAGTAATTAAACTGAATATTCACCTCCGTCTCGGAAGCTATTTGTTTATTTTGTATCTGTTACACTGCTGCTGGGTGTCATATTTTTTCCACAGTTGAAGTAGGATATTATATATGGTGCGAAACACAACACTGGCACCATTACTAATTCATTGTGTTGGAGATTCATTTCACTATTTCGATATATCGAACTTGAATACTAGGATAAAATTTTGATAGTGGATTTTCCTGTGAAACATTGAGCTGTGTCATAATTTTTCACATTCTCGTGGATATAG